TTCCCCAAGGGACCACCTGGCGTGGCCTCTGGAGGCTGCCAGGAGGGAGGCGAGGCTACGAGGCAGAGGCGGGCACATCTAAGCCTTTGAGGTGGGCAGGGTGCCGCCTCCAGCCCCTCGGGGAGGGACGTCTGTGGGTCTGGGAGTGCTCTCCCTGCCCGCCCACCCCCGCCACAGCCTCCACGTAGGGACCTTTCACCCTGCTGTCCGCCTGGGGCGGTGTGGCTTGGGCAGAGGGCGGTTTAAAGCACAAAACTACCGCAAGGAGTTGCTGGAACTTTCTCACGCCACCCAGTGTGGTGGAGACACAGGCAGGCGGCCGCTGTGAAATCAGAGATGCACCGCTCTCCTCCGTCACAGAGCATCTCGGCTCACGGGGTGTCCTCTGATGCAGTCCGGGCAGGGTGCAGGCACTCCCCGCGGCGTGTTACGCCACCGCCTATGCCCGCCATGTTCGCTGTCGTGTTTGTGTGGGCGGGCCTGCCCTGCGAGAGCGGAGAGTTCTTCCCACCCAGCGGCCCACACCTGTGGCTTCTGTCCCTTTGCCATCCCAAACAGGAAAGCGCTCGCCGCTCTCTTGGCTTGGCACAGCCTCCTGGTCCAGGCTCAGGAGCCAGGGCTTGGCCGATGCCCCCCACAGGCCTCCCTGGGCCTGGCCCTCCTCTCCTGGCTCCCAGATCCTTCACTGCCCTCCTATGTGCAAGGACAGACTCTACAGGGAAAATTGTTTCTTCCATGGCATCTTTGTTCTATCCCCCAGCCCCTGCCCATCTCCAGCACTCAAATGAGCCCCTGGCCCCCCACCACACCCCAGTCCAATCCTTTGAACCCATGTCCCGAGGGCCTTGCAGGGAAGCGGAACTGCTCCATGAAGAGCCGAGGGTCAGAGAGGACCCCTGAAGTGAATCAGGGCCCTGCCCTGCCCTGCCCACCAGCTCTCTTCTGGCGATCGCCTCCTGCCCAAGCTGCAGGGTCCTCTGGCCCGTGCTCTCCTCTGTGTGGCTAGCACAAGTGTATATATGTTTTGTACCTCTGCCGATGACTGTACATAGTGTATGAAAGTTATTTAAGCCCCATGCTGTACATTTCTGTTCCTAGACTGGATGTGTGTGTGTGTTCTAAGAAGTTGTCATAAATAAAACCTGAATGACCATTGTCTCAGGCTGACTTGTGGCTGGTGGCCCTTCCTGGGTGGGAGGTTGGTGGTGATGGGTGGGTAGGAGGTCAGCAGTGGTGGATGGGGTGAGAGTTTGGTGGGGGGGGGTGAGTGGGTGGGACATCGGTGGGGGGAAAGTTTGGGAGTTGGGAGTTGGAGGTCGATGGTAGTGGATGGGGTAGGAGGTCAGTGGTGGTGGATGAAGTGGGATGTCGGTGGTAGTGGATGGAGTGGGAGGTCCGTGGTGGGCGTGTGGGGTGAGAGGTTGGTGGTGGTGGATAGAGTGGGAGGTTGATGGTGGACGTGTTGGGTAGGAGGTCGGTGGTGGTGGGTGGGGTGGCCTCCGGGGCCCGGCTCAGCCTGATGAGTGTTTCCTGGGCTGGGAGTGTGGGGCTCATCAGCTAGGAAGCGGTGTTGAGAGCTTTGTCTCTCTCCAGGCCATCTCCTGCCTCCGGGATGGGCATGCTCACTGGAGGACGGGGCACTGGCGTTTATTGGGCACCTGCTTTCTCCAGGCCAGCTGTGGCGTTTTTCGCCGGATCTTCACTGTCCTGTGTGAGGGGTGGTGATCTCATCTTCTGAAATGACAGAGGTCTCTGAGAGGAAGTGGCAGAACAGACCTGTGCCTTACAGGCCACTTACAAAGAGGAGACAGAAATATAAAACGTTCACAGAAGAAAACAGCTCCACCATGTCTTGATTTTTGTTTCTAGATCCACTGCCCTAAAAATCCCGTGCGCTCTCCCTTGTCCTCCCAATATTTGTAGCATAAACACAGCTTCACGTCTATGAGACGCCGAACAGACCTACAGCATGCTGTCACCTGGAAGACACAATCATCGCTCTAACGCTGAGCCGCTCTTGTGCTTGTCACTCGATGGACTTTGTCTCCTGTCACCGTGTTCAGGAATTGGTGACTCTCGTGTCTTTTAATCGTGCTTCAGAATTCACTGCATTCCTGGCGCCCTCGCAGGACCAGGGCCCTCCACCGGCTCTGTGTGTCATGATCTGGTTTGTTGGGTTTAGCTCTCAAGAACACATTTTTTATGATAGCAGTTTTATTGAGGTATAATTCCCATACCATGAAATTCACCGTCTTTTCTTTAGGCTCATGATTTTATTTCGTTTATTTCTGTATTTGCTTTCCGGCCTCGTGGCAGCAGATGCTGAAGCGGCATCGAGTGAGCAACTGCGCGAGTGGGTGAAGGGAAGAAAGAACGGGCCGTTGGGGGGTTGGGTTGTGAAGCGTCACTAACCATCCAAACCTGGCTTTTCTTCTGCAACAGTCCTAGTTCCCTTTGATAATAACCACAACCCACTCCCCCAACCCTGGAGATTCTGGCCCCTCATCCCCTCGGGGACAGAGGCCTCAGGGGACAATCTGTGTCATCATCACCAGCCAAGCCCGTCTTGAAAACTTTACTTTCTGATTTTTGTGTTATGAAAACAGGGAGGTCTCTCTTTGCTTTGCTTTCCAAGTACGAAACCAAGTTGCCTCATCCAACACCGCAGTCCCGGCCGCTTATCTAGACCCGTGGCTGTGGACACACGATCCAGCCGGTCAGCTCCCTGAGTCTGCGGTTGGAGGAGAAAGGCTTCCCGAGGGAGGTTCCGCCCAAGAGGCTGGTGGTCCTCAAGCACAAGGGCCTTTTGAAGGGCCAGGGGACCCTGAGCCCCTGAGGGAGTTGCAGCCCTGGGCAGGCACAGGAACTCCCCCAGCCCTAAGAAGCAGGGGTGGCTTCTGAAGATGGTTGCTGTTGGCTGGCTGACCGGGCCCCACCCGTGTCATTCTTGCCACCCAACCCTTGCTCCCCACAGGCCCATCTTCTACAGGGCCCTGCCCTACGGGATGGAGCCCAGTGTTGACTATGGGAGGTGATAGATAGGCGTGGCTGGCCACAGGCCAAGGAGAGTGTGGGAGTGAAAGCGGAAGACAGAGCCCAGGAGCTGCCCCACTTGTCAGGAGGGGGCCCTGGAGCCCCTCCAGTCCCCTGCTTCCCCCTTGCCACTGTGTGCCCCTCCCTCGCCCTCCAGAGGGTTTGCCACAGAAGGTGGGTTTCCCAAAGTCAGCTCACCCTGTGTCTTGAAGATGCCAAGGGACTTAGGGGTGGTGAGGCAGGAACGCCAGGTCAAGTGACAGTGTCTTTTATCCTCTTAATATGAGATATTGGGGGGGGGGGGCGGTTTCCAGATTATAAGGGTAATATCTGCTTATTATGGAAAATTTGTAAAATGAATGACTGTGAAGACGAGAAATCTGTTTAGGACATAAGTTACGAGGCAGCTTCCCAGACCCGAGGAAATGGAACTTCTCAGAATTTGACAGGAGCCATTCGTTGTCAGGGCCTGGTGGCATCTTAAAAGATCGTTTTTTACAACCCTCTCAATTTACAGATGAGGAGAATTGAGGCCCAGAGAAGCCGACAGAGTCGGCCAAGGTCACACGGGGACAGAGATGGCCCTGGAATCCATTACCTCCCTGTCTGATCTCTTCCCCTCCTGCCCGTTCACCTGGCTTGACCAAGGAGAGGAGGTAACTGGCGGGGACATCAGGACAGTCTCTAAGTGGGTCCTGTACCAGTGCACTTGACCTGCTAACAGGTTTTTAATAAGATCTATCTTCCGTAATGCCCGTGGCAGAGCCAGATTGCGATTTGGACAAGGGCACGTGCGTGTAACAGTCAAGTCCTGTGACATCCCGTTCACCTCCGTCTATAACAGGGCAGCTGATAAGGCCCCTGGTGACAGCCGGGGCCACAGCTGTGGGACCCAGAGGCCAGGCCAAGGGGAGGGGGTGAGAAGGGCCTGTGGCCACAGCGCAGACATGTGAGCTTTCCTGCTGGCTCTGTTTGCAAGCACAACCGAGTGACTCCAGCTCTGTGCCCAGGCCGAGAGAATGTTGCGAGGAGCATGGCCCCCACTTGGAAGGATGAGTAGGGGCAGGGAGGGCGAGCACAGGGGGAGGGGGGCTCCCCATGTTCCTGGGGGCTTGGGTGCAGGTGAGGGGCTGGGCGCTGCAGGGCGAGGGCTGGAACCAACCCGGGGGTCGGCCTCGTCGTAGCCAGAGCCCCTTCCGAGTCAGAGCAAGTTTGGCGGCGGGGGAGCCTACTTTTTAGGACATTGGGTTATTGTCCCTGGGCTCAGAGCTTTGCCAAGGGCCCGGGTGATGGAAGGTCAGGGGTAACAGGTGACACCCTGGCTTGGAGTGGGAGGGTTGGTGGCAAATGACCCTGCAGAAACCCTGAGACCCTCCAGGGACTGTCAGATGGACCTGGGCAAGACGGATGCCAGCAGGAGCCACGGAGCTCGCAGGCGCTTGCCCAGCCCACCCTGCGGCGTGGGAGGAGGAATCCTCTGGCTCTTCAGAGGAACGGCGGCTGAGCTTCTGGTTTCCAGGGCCAAGTGTTGCCCCAAAGGGCAGACACAGTGGTGTCTTTATAGAGCAGCCCGTCCCCGGCGGGTGTATCCACACTCTGTGATCTCCCGGAATGTGTTATGAGTCACTAAGTCCTCTAAGAAATTCTCTCCTGCTTAAACTAGCCAGAGCGGACTCTGTGCCCTCCACCAGAACTCCTCCTGGTACAACTGGACTCCTGAGTGCCTCGTGGGTCCCAACAGCAACTTCCTCCCACCTGTAGTTCCAGCCGATGCTCAAAAGGACCTCTGCACTCCAGCCTCAGAGCACCATGCGGGGTGGGAGAAGGACCACGGGCAGAGCTGGGAGGGGCTGGCCGGGACCCAGATGTTCTCTGCAGAGAAGGCAGCCCCCCACAAATAGCTCTACCCGTACAGCCGAGAAGTGACTCAAAAGACAAGGAAACGCCCCCTCCGCAGAAGTCCATGCTTCCTCCTTTTATTGGAAAGATTCTGCAGGGACCAAGGCCACTTCCAGTGCAGGGCCCAGGAGCCTGTCCCCACTGTCACAGCTGTCACAGCCTCGTTTGTCCTGGCCGGGACCCAAGGATGCAGGCTCAGAACCAGCTCTTTCGTGACCTCCTGCTGCAGAAGCAGGAGGTGGGGGTGTCGACCAGCTGCTTCTCCTTGGCTTCCAGAACGTATAAGGTCTGCCTGGCGAGGCAGCTGACCATGGGGTCGCCGTCTTCCTGCATGTGCCTCAGGGCTGTGACACAAAATCGGGTGGCTTTGAACAGAGTAACGCTGTCGGGCTGGGCAGGAGGGCCGGGCCCTGCCAGGAGGGTAACCCGGCCATGGCGGGGTGGGGACTGGTAGTTTTTAAAATACGAGCAAGAATTCCTCCTGGAGTTCACGCTGCTCAGTCACAAGCAAGACGCCACCCCTGCCAGGGGCCCCGGGACGCCCCGTCTCCACTTTCGCCTCCCTGCTCTGCCCTCCTTGCCCAGAGAACAGCTGTGAGCGAAGTCCTCTGGCTCAGAGCTGCAATGGGACTCAGCGAGCCCGTGGGAACCCAGCGGGGCAGGGACGTGGGCTTGAGAGGGCAGGACAGAGGACAAGGAGGGGAGTGTGGGGGACGTGTCCAGGGGGCGGATGGAGAATGGGAGGACGACAACACGAGCAGTTCCGGGGGCTCCTGAAGGGAGGGCTTGGGAACCCCCATGTCCCCTCCAGTGAGGAAACTTTGGGTGTCCCTCCTATAAAGAGTCAAAGGAACTGTGCTGGCTGACAAAGGGGCTGGAGGCCACTGGGAGTGAGTGAACGTGGTGGGGCAGGAGGGCTCCAACCAACACCCCAAACCCAAATGCCCTGGACATGAGCCTGCCTCGTCACTCCTCAGGATTGTCATTTCTGTGAGCCCATCTGCCCACTTCTCATTCCTCAGCCTCCCAGCCAACATCAGTACCTCCACAATGCGCAGGGGGAGGGCGGCCCGGCGCCACTCACCTGAGTATGCCTCCTCAATTTCGTTGGTGTCTTCCGTGCCTAGGGTCTGGATGATCTGGCCTACGGGGCACCCAGAGCACCCCAGTGGGCCCACATGGGACCCCAGCCGCACCTGCTCTTGTGCCTCTGCCCCAAACACCCCGCACCCCGTTCCCTCCCTCTGTGGTTCCCTCCCACCACGGGCCTTGGCCACCAGCCTCACGTCTAGACCTTGCCCACGAAGTTGACATATTTCCCCCTGCTTCTCTGAAGGGTCATAAGCAAGTTGGGCTGGGGGAGGAGGGGGGACCCCTCGCTCCAGAGGTGTTTTCCCTGGGCTGACAGGAGGCAGTCCCCGCCAGTCTCAGAGCTCCCCGCCCTTCGGGAGCTTTGCGGGCTGGCCTCCCCGGGCTCAGCCCATTCTGCACTGGGAAGGCCATCCAACCCAACCAGGAGCTTCCTGCAGGGGAGTGGAGCCGGTGCAAAGAGTCTTCCTCCCGTTTTCCAACACAATTTCCATGGGCCCTGTGTGCCCTTGGGCCCCGGGTCCCCGGGCTGCTTGAAGGACCCAGGACAGTCACACGGGGGCTCCAACAAGAGGGAAAAGCCGTACCTGCAAACCACACTGCCGCCTGGCGGATGCGCGCCTGCGGGCTGTTGAAGAGGGCCTCGCACTGCTTCAGGAACCAGAGGGCCTTGTTTGCCTTCTGCTCCAGCTGGAAGAGGAGGAGCGGGTTCCGGCAGGGTGCCCCCGCCAGCTCTCCTGCCCTCAGACAGTCTGCACACTAAACAGGAGTGGACCACGCCGTGCAGAAAGCTGTCAGAACTCCCCACATCTCCACCCTCCCCCAGCTCCTGGAGCCCTGTTTCCTCTCTGAAGCCTTCCTGGATTGATTAAGCTGTGGGGGTCACTTTCCCTCTGGGAGGCATGAAGCTCTGAGTTACCCTAGTCTTTGGCTCACACGTTTTTCCCCTACCGCCAAGAGTAGAGGAGTGAATCCCATTGTTTAAATATTGTTTGTTACCCGATCAAAGAATGGGCAGAGATATGAAGAGACATTTTTTCCAAAGAAGATATACGGATGGCCAACAGGCACATGAAAAGACGTTCAACATCAGTCATCATCAGGGAAATGCAAATCAAAACTACTCTAAGATATCACCTTACGCCCATTGAAATGGTTATAATCACCAAGACAAAAAATAACAAATGTTG